TCATCCAGTCCTACCATTAACCTACACTACCAAGTCCACACTAAACCAATCAAGGGTAGACTAGACTAAACCATGTCCCAAAGTGCCACATCTACCCGTTTTTTGAACACTTCCAGGGATGGTGACTCCACCACCTCTCTGGGCAGCCTGTTCCAATTCTTGACCACCCTTTCCGTCAAGAAATTTTTCCTAATTTCCAACCTAAACCTCCCCTGGCGCAGCTTAAGCCCATTTCCTCTTGTCCTATCACTAGTTACTTGGGAGAAGAGACCAACACCCACCTCACTACAACCTCCTTTCAGGTAGTTGTAGAGAACGATAAGGCCTCCCCTCAGCCTCCTCTTCTCTAAACTAAACAACCCCAGATCCCTCAGCCGCTCCTCATAAGGCCTGTGCTCCAGACCCTTCACCAGCTTCATTGCCCTTCTCTGGACACGCTCCAGCACCTCAATGTCTTTCTTGTAGTGAGGGGCCCAAAACTGGACACAGTATTCCAGGTGCGGCCTCACCAGCGCCGAGTACAGGGGGACAATCACCTCCCTGCTCCTGCTGGCCACAGCATTCCTGATACAAGCCAGGATGCTGTTGGCCTTCTTGGCCACCTGGGCACACTGCTGGCTCATGTTCAGCCGGCTGTCAACCAGCACCCCCAGGTCCTTTTCAGCCAGGCAGCTTTCCAGCCACTCTTCCCCAAGCCTGTAGCGTTCCCAGTCCTCTTCGTCTGCTAGCATGGAGATGATCGCCAAAAGGATCTACCACCCAGTGATGTACCCCAAATGGGTTTTACAGTTGTATACAGTAACTGCAGATTTACATGTGCATAGTGACAGTCATTTCCATGATGTTTCTCTTGGTTTATGTGTCTGTGTAACAAGATGAAGCCCATGTTAGTGCTGGCCTCTATTTCTTTACAGAGCTGACACTTTGGTCAGAAAATGTACAATTGCCAAACCAGGAATTTTTTGTGATTTGGGGCAATTAGGACAAGTTTTTTTCTCAGGCAGTCCAGGCTCCCCATCCCCTTGGGCCTCCCCGTAGGTATCTCAGTGCTGCCGGAGCCTCCCCCGGCACGTGGGAGAAGGAGCAGGGGCTGCGGCGTGGGCTGCCCACCCCTCCCACGGGTGGGTGGGCGCGGAGGTGTTGGGTCCTACATCCCTGCAGGAGATGTGACGATGTGGCGGCACCCAGCCTGGGACTGCCGGCGGCCCGCTGGAGCTCTCTCGTCTGCCACGTGGGAAACGGCATTGAGACCGCCCTTCTGATTCAGGTCATTTGAGATTTCCTCTGGGTAAAAAAATAAATAAATAATGGTTGTAGTTCTATTTTTCACGCACAAAAAGGAGAATTGCTCGGTTTCATCACCTGCTAAATAAGAAAATTCTGAAGAGGAGTAAAAAGTACTTAATGGCTGAAAAGCAGTTTTCCTGAGAGCTCTGCTGCCCTCCGCTTCTGCTGTTGTTGTTACATTGGTGACAACAAAGGCAACTTCTCGGCGATTCCTCTTGCATTGTTTTTTTTCGGGAGGAATCATAAAAGTGATGAAGCAAACAGCTGTCGCACCTTTGTTTTAGTTGCTGCAGATGGTGGGACTGAATCTTCGGCCTTAGTGGACGACAATGGCAGTGAGGAAGATTACAGTTACGAGGAGCTCTGCCAAGCCACTCCCAGGTACCTGCAGCCCGGAGGAGAACAGCTAGCAATTAATGAGGTAACGTCATGGGCTTTGCATTGCTGTAACGGCGGGGGGGTTGTTTTCCACAGGTCTGAGGTTTCATATTAATAAAAAGTGCAACGGCAGTAGCCAGCATAGCGAAGAATCCAGCAGCCATGGTGTCCTGTCTCTGGCAGGGACCACGAGCAGATGCCAAGGGAAGAGTAACTAGTACTTCACTGGGAGTGTAACTCATTAGCCTATGTAGCTGCTCGGGAGTAGGACTCTAGTTGTTCTCACTAATAAATATATACGCATCTATTTCTGAAAATCCAGAATTTTAGTTTTATCCTGTACTAGGAGTAATCATGGGCGTTCTAGTAAGGTATTTTGATCTTTTAAATAGTTTACAAATAGTTTATTGTTTACCTTTCGTCCTTCACAACTTCATTTTCTTCCCATCTCAGCTGATAAGCGATGGCAGCGTTGTCTATGCAGAAGCTCTCTGGGACCATGTAACTATGGATGATCAAGAGCTGGGCTTCAAAGCTGGAGATGTCATTAGAGTTCTAGAGGCTTCCAACAAAGACTGGTGGTGGGGAAGAAACGAGGACAAGGAAGCCTGGTTTCCAGCTAGCTTTGTCAGGGTGAGTAACTCTCTTGCTTTTGTACCATTGTCACACAAGATTCCTAGCAGAGTGCAATAGTAATGGTCATGGCATTACATTTAAGTGAAGGGCCTGGTCCTCAGCATCTTTGTGTCTGAACATCAGTAGTGTAACTCCTAATGACTTCACACAGAAAAAAGCAATGGAGAATCACACCCCAAGATACCTTAGCTCCTCTGACACCATTTGCTCTGGCTTCTTCCTTTGTGTGGTCCTTTTGTAACCGAAGGAATTTCTCAGGCAGAAATGAGGGCAGCAGAAAGTTGAACCAGGAGCAATCAGTGTATACGGAGAGGACGGAGCAGTTTTCATGAGGGAGTGCGGAAAGCTATGCTGCAGGGATTTCTTGGTAAATTAGGGCTTAATTTATTATCACAACATTGTGTAGGAATCTGGTTCACAGTCTGAACTCCCCAGTCAGAACTCAGCCAGATTAATGACAGTATAACTCTTGAATGATATAAAATTGAACTATGTTTTAGAAATTAATTTGAAGTACTTTTTGAGAGCCTGTAATGAAGCTTGGGTCGCACTGTATGAAGTACTACACAAAGTGCAAGAGATGGTTCCTGCCTTTGCCCTTCATAGATCTCCAGCCAACGTGGGCAATCAAACAAAAGTCAAAAAATGAGGTGCTGTTACCCATATTGTACAGATGGGGAACTGGGGCAGAGGGAAACTTTGTTTTAAGTGTTTGAGTTGTCTGCTTTTGTAATTTTTAGTCATATGCTGGCTTGGCCAAAATAACACATAAATGATTAGTAAGGGTCAGAAGTAAGCTTACATCTGAAAAATACACAGGTAACACAACACGGTATCTCTCAGATACTGTGAGTAGAAAGCCATGTATTTAACCAAACAGAAATCTCAACACTTTATTTGAATATGCAGTGGGTACAATGAGCTAAGTCCTGTTGTGGAATCCTCTCTATAAGGTAAGAATGGGAACACTTCTGTAGCAAGTCCTCTCTTAATTGTAAGAAGCTTCTAACAGTTTTATCACATTTTGTAAAAGTTTGCTGCTTTACTCTAGTTTGCTTTGTTTGTTCTGGCTGCAGCTGCGAGTTAATCAGGAAGAAGTGCCAGAAAATTGTAGTAGTATCCAGGATGAAGAACAAGATGCAAATATTAGCAAGCATCGTCAGAAAATAGCTGAAAACAAGGATCAGATGAGAACCAACGTTATACAGGAAATTATGAACACAGAACGAGTCTATATCAAGCATCTCAAGGACATCTGTGAGGTACATGCTTTAACCTGAGGCCATTCTGCTGACCTAATATGAACAAAACATCCCATATAAGTTGAGAACCAGAGTGGTTTCTCATATCAAAATATTCCCAGTTGCACTTCTGAGGCTGTCAGTCAGACCCTTCTTGTGTCCTCTTAAAGCTTTCCTCTCTGCCAACTGCGACAAGGCACCGCATCCTTTTTTTAAAAAAAAAGTTCCACTTTTGACATGGGAAAAGTGCTTTGCTTATCTGACCGCTATTTCCATAATAATGCGAGAAGGAAGTCCAGTTTATTTAGAACTTCTTACCACTTGGTTTAGATAAAAAACTTACAGTAACTTTAATAAAATCCATTACAGTTCAGGGACAAAACTGTTCGAAAGTAACTTGCAAAGAGAATGTTTGCTGGGTGAGATTTTTTTTTTCTCCAACAAAGAGATTTTTCCTGGATGCTGAGAAACTATGAAGAAGTCTTTAAAGGTGTTTTAGAACTACCTTGCTCATTTGAACCGTAAAATGTGGGGGGCTTTCTGCTTTTTGTTCAAATTTTGTTCGAGGCCCACACTTGGACAAGAAACTTCTTAATGCATTTGACTGAAGTTTGCCTCTTCTGACGTGGACTGTGATGCATGTCCATTGTATTTGTGGTTAGCATCTGGAAGGGTGCTAAGCAACCTACCAAAATATTCTTTGTACCCTTAGTTTGCTAGGTCTCTCTCTGTATTTGTCATGTTATCATCCTTTAGTCCACCACTCATCGTTAGATTCTTTCATGGACAACAAAGTAGACAAGACAGCAGTGTTTTTTTATTTTTTTTTTTTTTTAGATTAGGCCTTTTTTATGCATTTAGAAGAAAGAAAAAAGGGAAAACAAAAAGACAAAAATTGGTTGCTAATTGGCTAATTTTAAAACATTAAATATACGTTTTGTAATTTAGATTCACTATTTACTTAAGCTAGTAAGCTTGACTGTGTGCCTAAAAGATCAGGGAGCGATTTATACACACAGCTGTGTTGCTGCCATAGTTAGCTGAGTTTGAGGACATGACTTCCATATTTCATTGACCTATTCTTAGACTGATACTAATAATTAATTTTCTCTAATACATATATTCTGTACCTCTTTTTTTAAATCTGACATGCCTCTGAGTCTAGTACAAGAGAGCAAACACACGTTTTCCAAGTAGAGAAGTGATACTCCATGTTCAACATGTGGGATAGGGATGGTCTGCTTTCCTCAGAGTGAATCTGTAGGAAGTGCAAGTAGGACATAAGGCTGAAAATATACACAAGTAAGACTAAGCCAGGAAAGGTACTGCAGATAGTAATCCAAATTTGCAAGCTCTGCACTAGAATGAATCACTAGGGCTGGTGCAGTCAGGATCATGAAGTTGGAGTATACCCAGGGAAACAGTTTACACTCAAGAAGCGTCTGCAGTCCACATTACAAGAGCTGCACAGGAATTAGTTTTCTGTGTCGGAGTTATCCTCCTAATAATAATAAATATGGTAGCTGGCTTGCAGCGTAGCCACTGCACAGCTGTCAGAGCAGATGGCTGTGGAGGAGACAGGAATATGCACAACAGCGCCAGCAGTATTCAGGGTTGCTTCCTGGTAAACCTCACCGGAGCAATTGCAAGGCTTTTTACAGCTGTCTGCTCCCAAAGCAATTTGGGGGAAACCTGCCTGAAAGCAGCCAAACGGAGGAACCTGGCGGATAACCTCTATCGTAGCGGTTAACCTTTGCACTCATCTGTACCCTGGTGCCGTAACTGATAGAGGAGTATGAGCAGAGCAGCTGTTCCTGGCTGTTCAGCGCCTGCACTGTATCCTCCTCGCCACGCTCAGCTGTGTGGAACGGGTACCTGAGGATGTGCTGGCTGTGCGTGGTGGCTGCTGCTGCTGCGTGTTTCAACCCTAAGAGGCCCCTGATCGTACCTTTGCTTCTTAGCTATGCGAATGGTGATGCAATCTAATGTCCATTACTGATGGCAGAGCAGAATTTGCTCCAAAGGCGTTTTACAGCTGGGGAACTCAGTTGTGTATCTACTTAAAACTGGATATGAATAAAGTGAACTGGACCCCTGTGATGTTCTTAGTAAGTACTTCTTCTCAAGTAAGAGAAAAAAACTGGAAAAGTGATTTTTATGTGTGGTCTTGCCAATACTCTTACCTCCTGCCAATACCGCATGGATTTTACCAAACGGCAGCATTCTGAATGTGCTGAAACATATAAATATATTCTTCATTTTGCTTCTCTGGCTTAGACTGTGCCCTACTTACCTACTGGTTAAGGAACCAGTACTTTAGCCCTGGTAGAAATTGTCTTTATATTAATTGTTTTAGGGTTTGTTCTTATCTGCATAGAGAAGAACTGTTATGTCACAGAGAAATTTCTGCAAAAAAGTGTGGCAGCTAAATTAGTAGCATGCATGAGACCTTACCCTGGGCTTGCCTCCAGCTTGGCGGGTAGTCGTAACAAGGAGATGTGAATGGGCTTTACACACTGCAGGTTTCTGGTTCCCTGATTGATTTACGGTGCTGTGAGACAGAAGTTGGACTGCAAGAATTAATGTGTAAACATTACAGATGCAAATCTGAAATTGCATGTGTGTGTGTGTGTGTGTATGGCTGGGGAGCCACTCTCCTGCCTATAGATCACAGGGGTTTTGCCAGCTCAGATGGGCTTGTTCAGGGTAGAACCTGTTCTCACACCTTCCAACTGAAGAGGTTTTTTTATTTCATTTCCAGGGTTATATTCGGCAGTGTCGCAAGCATACGGGAATGTTCACCGCAGCTCAGTTAAGCACCATTTTTGGAAATATTGAAGATATTTACAAATTCCAAAGGAAGTTTCTGAAGGATCTTGAGAAACAATACAACAAAGAGGAACCTCATCTAAGTGAAATAGGGTCATGTTTTCTTCAACATGTACGTTGCAAAAGTCCATTTTATTTATGAAATTAACAAAATACGATACGAAAATGCTAAGTTACCATGTTAGGAGGGGATTTTAGTGATGTGCTTATGAAATACTAAACTATGTATAGATAGCATTTTAGAATGTAAAATAATTTATAATTAAAGAATTATTTAAATGTTTCAGATTTCTCTTCATCTTTAGCAAGCATGTAACTTTGTACACAATTTTAAGTTTTCTTTTCAAAACTGTAATGATCACAGATGACCCAGACTATTTGCAGTGATCTCATATTGGGCATGCAAAAACTTCCTAAAGAAAATAAGGAAAGAAGGTGGTGGGGAACGAGGCTGTGAGTTCGTGACAGACACTTGCTAAGCCTATAGCTGTCTTCTCCAAAGAGAAGTACTTTTAAAGTGGGTTTGATTATCCTGACTCGATGGAGGCCTCTGTTTCTGTGTTCTTACAAAGAAGGTACATGGTTTTGACAGTTACAAAGTAAATTTCTGTGTAGTTTCAAGGCTGATCAGCCTGGAAACAATATAGGAAATGGATTAATTAATCTAATTAGATACAAAAGATGTTAGAAAAAATATTCATAATATATATTAATTATTAAT